TAGAACTGTCCCATAGGGTTTCCAAGGAGCAGCTGGTGAATTTGAACAACAAACCTTTTGGTTAGCAGCCCAGCTGTTAACCACTATGCCACCAGGGCTCCCATTAACATCATAGAGATCAGGATTTATAATGCATAGGATAATTGTATCAGATCACAAAATGGTGGACAACCACACAACACTGGGAAGCATGGCCTAGCCAAGTTGATATATTTTTGGGGGGACACAATTCAATCTATAACAGGCCACCAGAGCTCCTTGCCTTGATAAAACAAAGCAAAAACAATGTGAATACACACACCTTAATAAAAAAGAAAACCTGGACTTATCTGTAATGTTCCCTTTTACTTTCATCCTGAAGCCCAACATTTTTCCTATTTGCCTGAGGTGAACTTGTCATCAGTTTGTGTATCCTCCAGACCTTCTTCTATGAATTCACATACACACATGTATCTGTAGAGAATAGACTTTCTTTTCAGTTTCCCTAATCAAAACATGGAGCCCTGTTGGCACAGTGGTTAAGAGCTCGGCCACTAACCAAAAGGTTGGCAGTTCGAATCTACCAGCTCCTCCTTGGAAACACTGTGGAGCAATTCCACCCTGTCCTATAGCGTCGCTATGAGTCAGAATCCATTTGACAGCAATGGGTTTGCTTTGGTTTTTGGTAATCAAAACATGAAAGATATTATACTGTATGTACTAATCTGTGACTTAATTTTAAAAACTCAGCTCCTTCATTGTCACTATATTAATTTACAAGCTCAGCAGCAAGAAATGCATTACACGTTCTCAAGCCTTGCCAACACTTTATATATTCATCAATTCATTAATATTTGTTCATCTGTTGGAACTGTGGAATCACACTCTTGTAATCTGCAGTTCCTTGTATTACAGTTAATACCATTTTTACTTTTTTTTGGTCATAAATATTTCTACTTCTTTAACTTGTTCGTAGATTTTGTACATTTGTCTTCCGAGTTGTTTTAATGGTTGATAAGAGTTCTTTATGAAATCTTTTTACTGGTCCTTTGTCTATGTGTCACCTGTCTTAATTTTGCTTATTTATTATTTATCATAGAAAAGTTTTAAGTTTTGATAGTATTCAATTTGTAAATCTTTCTCTCTGAGGATTTTTCTTTTGATGTCTTATTAGAGGATCTTTCCCTACCTTATAATCACAAACATTATTGTACTTTCTTTAATATTTCTATAGCTTTGTGGTTTTTTCTGTGTTTAAATTCCAGAGGAATTAGTTTTAGTGAATGATGTGAGGTAGGGCTCTATTATTTTTAATTGGTAAGCAATTGTCCCAGCTCTACTTATTGGGTGGCCCACCACTTGGAACTATCACCTTTGTCATACTAAATTTCGATATATACATGGGTCTGTTTCTGAACTCCAGTTCATCAGTACCTTCAGTATGCAAGGTTCTAATCGGTATCTTCTCATACCTTCTACAGGGCCTCTGGTCACATTTGATGTACTCTCTCTCTGCGACTGTTGAATCTCATCTTTTATTTCAAGTACCTACTCTCCAGGATTGGGCATGAATCTCTCTAGCCATGAACACAGCTGGGGAGCAGGGCGTATGAATGATGGAAAGATTGCATTCACATCTTCATAACCCTCCACATATCCTTACTCTCCTTTGGCCTCTACCCCTACAAGTAATCCAGCTATACACCAATTGTCTAAGTACTATTTAGTGTAAAAGAGCAAAGATGATAGAGGACAAGGCCCCTTAGGGACAGGATGGAACAAAACAAGCAGTGCAACTCTGCCTTCTGCTCAGCATATCCTCTTGTTGCCCCACTGGGTAACGTTGTTGTTGATAGGTGTAATGATTAAGGTTGTCTGTCAACTTGGCTGGGCCATGATTCTTAGTGGTTGGGCAGCTATGTAATGATGTAATTTGGCAGTTATGTAATGATATAATTATCTTCCAATTATGTGATATAATGTTATCACTTCCATGATGAGATTTGTTGTGATCAGCCAATCAGTTGTAAGAAGAGTTTCCTTGGGGGTGTGGCCTGCATCTAATATATATGGAAGTTCTGGCAAAGCTTGCTGGCTTCTGCTGGCTCTGGACCCTGCATCCAGCTCGTCATCATTTAACTTCCAGTTCTTGGGACTTGAGCCAGCGGCCTGCCGTATTGCCTGCCAATCTTGGATTCGTCAGCCTCTGCAGCCCGTGAGCCAGCAGCCTGCCATCTGACCTACCGATCTTGGGTTTGTCAGCCCCTGCAGCTATGTGAGTCAGGAGAAGCCTCTAGCCTGACACCTGACCCATGGAATTGGGACTTGCCAGCCTCTACAACCACATGAGCCATTTCCCTGAGATAATTTTCTCTATATATACATATTTGCTTCCCATGGAGCAGGAAACATTGTTTCAATGTGATGCCAGAGGATCTCAGATCCCCAAAAAGGGATTTCCCCAAGGGTCTCCAGAACTGCAGGCAGGGATCAAAATGTTAAAACTCTGTTCTGTTAAAGAGGTTTTATGAGGGACTCAAAAGTGTGGCCTAAGGGCTTCCATCCCTAAATGTCTGTTTTAACTCAAGGCTACAAGTTAATGTAAAGGAATGGCTGACTGCAGACCTCTTAGTAATCTTCTGGGAATTATGACATCTTACAGCTGAGCTTTGATTGTATCATGTGGCAGAGTGCTCACACTTACATGTCTGACAAAACCTCAAGTGTAGATTTTCTGGTGTCTGATCAAGGAGGAGCATGTGCTGTAATGCAGCTCCCCCCACCTTGGCCTGCAGTAGAATCACTTGAGAGTTTTGAAAACATACTGATGCCACTACACTCAGGGATGCTGACCTAATTGTGATGAGGCCCCGCATCAGTATTTTTATTAAAAGTTCACCAGGTGATTCTAATGTGCAGACAAGGTTAGAATTACTGCTTTTAAGTCAATAGCTAGGGCAAGGGCTGTTTTGTTTTAAATAAAAGTTAAATAACCCACCAGATCATGTCCCTGAATTAGCTGACCTGGGGTTATCTGTGTTTGTCTTTCCAACACAGATTCCATGTTCTTACTCTTAATGTAATCATTTAAACAAGAACTTTTTTACTTATACTGTCATTGAGTATAACCAACATCCCACTGTCACTTATCCACAGTGCCACTTGTGAGACAGCAGGACAGGTATTTTACTCCTTATTTTCCAGATGGAGGAAATCCCCTTTACTTAGTCTAAAGGGCACTAATTTGCTACCTAGTCACCAGGAGTGGGGGAAAGGGTGGGGTGGAGACACTTCACAGATGGCCTATGTCCTCAAAGCTCGCCACACAAAGCACTTCCACTTTCTTGGACCAGCATCCTGACACCACTGTGCCATTGACCACTTGGTCCAGTCGCTGCTCTGGACTCTTCTTCTAAGCTAAATTTGCATATTAGCATCCCTGAATGTTCCTTTGGAGTCCTGGTACAGCTGTGATGATTGGCCAAATATTAAACACTTCTGGTTTAGTTAATAAATAACTGTCCCCACCCATGAGAGCCCCTAACCATGACTCCTCCCTCAGGGCCCCTGAATGTCCCATGCCCAGGTGTAGCAAAGGCCTGTTTATCTCTTGTTAAATCGTTTGGATACCACACCTCCATCTGTGTTTCGCTTTAACAAGCAACAGGTAAAGGAAACTTTTAACAGGAACACTAACAAAAATTAATGGATTATGCACGTCTGCTCTGAGAAACAGATAATAATTAAAAAGCTATAGTTCAGAGAGGAGGGATAAAAGCACAGACACTAATCCATCAAATCTAAGATGTCATCGCTTGTAGGATGCACTGCTATTTGCTGGGCAAATAAGAAATAAAAAAAAATTCATCTATGTAAACCACAATGTGCCATGGATTGTAAGACATATCCTGATTTCAGAGATGTTACAATGTGGAAAGAATATGCATTTTAGAATTGATAAAATGGGCACTTCTAGTCATCCTCTTTCTATGCCCCATAAAGAATGTGTCCTATATTTTCTCAAGCTCAGTTGATGCTAGTTACCACTTGAATGGGTTCACTCACAGTGACCCCATGTGTGCAGTGTAGAACTGTGGACTTTCAGAAGCAGATCACCAGGCCAGTCTTCCCAGGCACCTCTCGGTACGTTCGAACTGCAACCTTTCCACTAGTAGTCAAGTGCTTAAAGATTTGCACCAGCCAGGGAAACCTCCCTCATCTCTACCTCTAATATCTTTCACAGATCCATTTCACCCATTTGTATGATCCTCTTGATCAGGTTCAAACCCCTGGTGAGAACTTGCCATTTCTACCCCAGATACACTGAATAAGAATCTACATTTTTAACAAGATCCTCAGGTGATTCTTATGTGTATTAAATTTTGAGAACCACTTCTCTACTAGTGGTTCTCATAATTGGTCCCAAACCAGCAGCATTAGCATTGCCTGGGAACTTGTAAGAAATGCAGATTATCAGCAGGGGTTCAAACTAGAAGGAAGCAGTTCCAAGCCCTGGGTTGAGAATCTGATTGTCTAGTCCTCCTCCTCCTTCTGCAGAATTGGACTCTTCCTTCCAAAGGGTCCACCTGTGCTCTGGGCTCAGTCTTTCTGTGTCCTCTGCGACCTTGTCCTAGCAAGTATTGCATCTTTCTCCTATATTCCACCTCTCTCCCTGTCTAACACCTTTGGGTGTTTAAACACACTAAATAGTGTCCCATATTAAAAAAAAAAAATCTATCCCTTGTAGTTCCCACCCTACCTCAACCTTCAGTAGCCAACCTCCTTGGAAATTTGGCAATGATTATGGGTGATGGAAGGGCCCTAGTGGCGCAGTGGTTAAGTGCACAGCTGGTAACCAAAAGGTCAGTGGTTCAAACCCACAAGATGCTGCACTGCAGAAAGATGTGGCAGTCTGCTTCCATAATGATTACAGTTTTGGAAACCCTATGGGGCAGTTCTACTCTGTCCTATGAGGTAACTATGAATTGGAATCGACTTGATGGCAATGGATTTGGTTTGGTATGGGTGATGGTTGGCACAACATGATTAGTGTAATTGCTATCACTAAATTGTACTTGAAAAATGTTGAACTGGTAAATGTTGTGTTATATACTGTATATTTTTACAACAATAAAAAAAATCCAATCACCAAATCAATACCATTTACAATAGCCCCCATGAAGCTAAAATACTTAGGAATAAATCTAACCAGAGATGTAGAAGACCTATACAATGAAAACTACAAGACACTATTGTAAGAAACCGAAAGAGACACGCATAAGTGGAAAAACATACCGTGCTCATGGATAGGTAGACTCAACATTGTGAAAATGTCAGTTCTACCCAAAGGGATCTATAGATACAATGCAATCCTGATCCAGATTCCACTGGCATTTTTTAATGAGATGGAGAAACAAATCACCAACTTCATATGGAAAGGGAAGAGGCCCCGAGTA